CATATCAACTTTCAATAGAAATTACATAAATGCTGTATTACATACTGTATTAAGATAAAACTGCACTCTAAAGTTCAGAAAATTCCATTTAATAAAATTTAAACTATAATATATTTTCATTGAATTGCAATTAACTTGCATTAATGTGACAGAAAACATTACATTTAGTTTGCACTTAAGTATATTCTTTTAAAGTATACTATTTCTGTAACAAGAACTCTTTTTAAAAGTATGCTAAAATGTAATTCTTTTTCACAAGGGTTGATTTGCCTACACTGTCACGTATAAACAGTTATTCATTTTTCATGAGCATCTCTGTCATAATCTACTAGAGTACAAACCCATCTGTCAAAAAAGTAACTGAAGTCTTATAGGTTTCCCTGGAGAGTTTCATAAACTCACTTTTTCCAACTTTTTGTAAATTACATGCAAACTTTTTTCACACAAGTAAACTCGTTTGATGAGAACAAAGTCAGTGTTGAGAACATTACTTTCCAAATTCCTGCTAACCTCGGCGGATACCAAAAGAGAATAATTGGAAAAATTAATTATGTCAAATTGCTAAGGGTATCTTGTGTATTTTATTCCTTTTTCACTTTCACACTTTCTCATTCGGTTCTCACACTTCCTTGAGAGCCTCTTTTTGAAAGATTTAATTTGTCAGCTTCTTCAAGTGTCAACTACACAAAGTCAATAAGATCAAATCCAAATTCATTTTGTTCCTTGACCCAAAACACAGAGCCGCTTGTTTTGTGTAGCACTTTTGCATCAAAATCTCAAATCTGGTTGCAGTTAAAGCAGTTAAACAACTGTTTTATCATTTTACCATTTTAATCAGTGTTTAATCAGGAATGTATGGAAGCCTGTTTCCGTCACAGAATAAAATAAAAATAAAAAATTTAAAAGGTAATTTGCGGTAAATGGTAAATTCTGACTTTTTTCTTGCAATTCTGAGTTTACATGAGACAATTCAGACTTTATTTCTCGCAATTCTGAGTTTACACCTCGCTATTCTGTTTCTACCACTTAATAAAACATTAAAAAGGTACTCATAATTCTGATTTTTTTTCTCACAATTTCAAGTATATATCACAAGACATTTATCTCAAAATTGTGAGTTTATATCTCGCAATTCTGACTTTTTTTCTCAGAATTGCGGATTTATATCTTCCAAATCTGGGGGGAAAAAAGTCAAAATTGTGAGATAAAAAGTCACAGTTCTTTATGTTTTAATTCCATGGCAGAAACAAGCTTCCATAGGAAAGACAACAAACCAACTTCCCAATACGAAACTCTATAATGTTCTACAGTTAAATCCAGGTGAATCGAGAAACCAATGATCAACGATCCAGATATAATGAGTTCAGACAGAAATGTATACATAGCAGACACACACCACTATAAGGTTCCACATGCGTGCCGCCTCGGCCACCAGCGTAGACACGGAGCTGCAGCCCGGCATCAACACAATCTTTATGGGCTCTGTGTACAGCAAGTCATACAGCAGTTTAGTGGCCTCTCCTGGATCACACTGAAGAAAAGAGAAAAAGAACATCAAGACGGTCAAAATTAGTCTACCACCAAAAAGTTAACTGAAGCTTGCAGGATGTAAAAGCTTCACCTGAGCATGTCATAATCAATAAAGTATCAACGGAATCAGCACAGAAACACAGTATCTCATGGCCCAGGAAAAAAAAAAAAACTGCAATGAAGCTGTAACCAAAGACCTCTCGTGCTACAGTTCAATGTGACAAATACAACAGGATGTGATTCACAAATGAGGGGGTGACTGCTCGCACGCCACAGATGCAGTCACACTAAAATGGTGCCCTTGGTAACGATCAGCAGAAACACTTAATTAGGAGAGACATGCATGCTTTTATTTTTGTTAAAGTTAGAATTAAATGACACAGTGCTGGTCTCAAAAACGATGACAGTCAGAAAGCACCCACTTTGGATCTGTTTTAGTACCAGAATACCTAATAATAATATTTTTGCCAGACATCACTCATCGAATCAGTCTAGTAAATCTCTCAAAGAGACACGTGTGGTTTCCTTGCTCCAGTCTCTCATGGGAGAGCTCTAGGGAGCTGAGGCGTTTTCATTCAGCACACGGCCTTTGGAGAAGCAGCCATTGAAAGGAACTGAAGACGCTTGACGTGACGGAGGCATCTGTGCTGTTAAAGTCCCCGGGGGTGAAGGTTATGCAGGTCTCTGGACCAGAATACTGAGCGCCGGCTAAAAAAAAAGAAAATGCTCCTTCTCTCACTGCTGTTGGACACAAGGACAATTTTGTTTTTGTTGGGTCCAACATAACGGTACACGGATGGGCTAAAACTTCAGACTTAAAGGTGGGGTAAGCGATTTTTCAAAAACGCTTTAGAAAACTGATTGGGGCCGACTAGCAAAACAAACTTGTAGCCAATTAGCAGTAAGGGGCGTGTCTACTCATGATGTGGAGGAGAGAGCGTTCAGTGCACAGGATGGACATTAGCGAGCCGAGCGACAGAAAGATAGAGATGGCGGATAAAAAAAACATAAGAGGAAAATGTCTGTGGGACAAAAGAAGGCTTAAGGCAAGAAGTAGGACCCGTGTAAATATCGGATCAGCTTTCCAGCGCTAGAGAGAACTCAAGGAGCAGAAGGCCTGCGATTGGACACCGAGGTTGCTTTGTTTCTTCTCGATAGGCGAGTAACACCGTGTCGACAAAGCGACCGTTGAAAATCATTTGAAATTTGTGTCAATACGTCATGAATAGAACGCAGCAGCAGTTTTCTGTCGGGGATTTGTCATGTCGTGCCGCGCCACATCCAGTGTAGACCATAGATATGTATATATATCTATGGTGTAGACAGCATCACTGATTATAATGAGTTC